ATCTTAGTGGCTGCTGGGTAGAGGGGAATAGGGTTATACTTGGTGGCTTATACAGCTAAAAGCCACATAAATGGCACTTTGTCATATTAGAGCCAGACTATGACACGGGCCATAAAGGAACAGAACAAGCACAAAATGTGTATATTTCCACTCCCTAACCACGCACCCCCCAAAAAGAAACCACCCTGAAAATAAAGTATGTTAGATTTTTAAGCATAAAATAAAATAATGCAAAATGGTAGAATTTCACTTAAAATTTAATTATATGGGATTTCTCCCACACACTTTTCAACACCCAAATTAGAGGTTTTTAACTTTCAGCAAAAAGTTTGTTCATTTTACCATGATCTAAAAAAACATTTTCAATGTTATGTTTTTCAATGGAAAGTAGAATTTTCACCTGAAATGTTTTTTAAAATACATATAAACAAATGTATTGTTGTTAAATACTTATCTGAGTGGTGGGAAGGGGCGTGGAACCTGGCCACTCCTACACTTGGGCCAAAATCCTATTAGGCCTCAAAGCATTTAAGATGTGCCTGTGTATCTAAATGAAGATGGATGGGATGCCCTCTGCACATGTTGAGAGTAGATTTCATGGTCCACTTACACTCTGTGGTGATCCTATTCTGCCTGGGAAGATATGTAACTTTGTGTAAGGCCCCCCAAGAACGATAGGACACAGAAAAATACAAAAGCAGGAAGCATGTTGTTTCAATGATGGCTCCTTCCAGCTTTTCTTAGTCTACTGGTTAAGGCAATTGTCCAGAGAGGGAAAGACCAGGCTCTTCTCAACCAGAGGCCATATGAATCCAACTCTCCTGTTCAACATAGTGCCCTATATTAGATAGGAAGTCTCCAGATCATCCTCTGCTCCTCTTGATGTACTTAACAAGCAGCTAGGAGGGGGAAGTATATGGGCCCAGGGTGATTGCTAACTGAAGGGCTTCTAGTTCTCTAGGTCACTGAATTTAGCTTCAGAAGAGAGGCGGGGTTCTGGCTTCTGCTCCTGCCTTTACTGGTGTTTCTGCATTTGCCAGTCACTGGGCAAAAAGAGATATAGCAGGTATATTTTATACCAGCAATTACAGGGGAAGTTTGTCTGGCAGTGAGAGGAACTGTCCAGGAAGTTTGTAATACAGCAGCCAATTGAGCCATCACATTCTGGACAAAGAACCTGTGTCCGACTACAAGTGTTCCTATACATCTCTCCCAAAACTGATTTGAAGAAAACAAGCAATATGACTA